CATATACTAAAATAAATTTGCTTCACTGAAGAAAGATTGATCATTTAATGAACACAGAAAGGTCAGATTTTGGCAAGACAAAAGTTTTGTCGCCTACAGAAAATTGAACAAATAATTTACTTCAAATACAAAAATATGTTGCATAACATCAGTGAATTAAGTAGTGGTGCTGTGAGATCCATATTTAATATCTTGTATGACTCCATGAGCTTGAAGGACACATCCATGCGGTTTTAACAATGATTCATACAATTTGTTGATGAAGTCATCAGGAATAGCAAAGAAAGCGTCTTACATGCCTCCCAGAGTTCATCAAGATTCTTTGGTTTTGCCTTCCATGCTTCCTCTTTCATTCTACCCCAGACATGCTCAATGATGTTCATGTCTGGTGACTGGGCTGGCCAGTCCTGGAGCACCTTGATCTTCTTCACCTTGAGAAACTTTGATGTAGAGATAGAAGTATGTGATGGAGCACCATCCTGCTGCAAAATTTGACCCCTTTTTATGGTTGGGAATGTAAGAGGAGCTAATACTTCTTGATATTTTAGGATATTGATATTTACCTTCCACCCTGCAAATGTCTTGCACAGCCCCATACTGGATGTAACCCCAGACCATGATTTTTCCACCACCAAACTTAACTGTTTTCTGGGTGAATCTTGGATCCATGCGGGCTCCAGTAGGTCTCCTGCAATATTTGCGGCGGCTGTGATGTAATTCAACTGAGGATTCATCTGAGAAATCCACCTTCTGCCACTTTTTCCAGTGTCCATCCTTTTAACAGGCTGTGGGCCTTGGCAAATGCCACACGCTTTTTTAATTGCCTTTTGTTTAGTGCTGGTTTCTGTGCACTGATTCGACCATGGAGGCCATTTCGAGACAGAATTCTACAAACTGTTCAGGTTGACACAGGGACTTGAGGTGACCAGGCCTGGTGGAGCTCTGCTGCAGTGGAAAAGGGGCCTTCGATTTTCGAATCAACAAACAGTCCTCCCAAGCAGTTGTCTTGCGGGGTCTGCTGGACCTGGACTTGTCAAAAACATCTCCAGTCATTTCAGATCTTTTTCTTATTCTTTGTACTTGACGCTGAGACACATTGAAGGTGTCACCACCTCAGCAGTGGATCTGGTCTTCAGCCTCTTGATAATTAACACTTTGGTCTCAGGGTGGATCTTAGGCATGTTGTCAGAGGTCAAGTTGCAGTTGATGTGAAGGTCTGGTGTGCTGGGGTTCTTTTTATACACATCCACTAATTGATTGATCAGTAACTGATCACAGGTGAGGCTGTAATCTAGGATTGGGTGCATCATATGACAAGGCGACAAAACTTTTGTCTTGCCAAAATCTGACCTTTCTGTGTTCATTAAATGATCAATCTTTCTTCAGTGAAGCAAATATTTGTTTAAGTTATTGGGAGCATATATTTGGAGGGGGGGTATTGGGTGTTTTAGTCTTTTCTACTATGATGACCATTTTTTCTAGAAAGCCAAGTTCGAAATAATATGTGAAAAAGCAGGCTTAATAAGCTTTGTTCTAAGCAATAAAATGGATATAAGTAACAAACCTTTTGTGTCGTAAGGAACTGTAGGTCGAGTTGTCGGCTGGAGTTAAGTTGCGCAGACTCAAGAGTCAGGAGAAAATTCGCGACCACGATGCCTCGACTACCGACCCTACGCCTAAGCAACTTTTATAACCCCCACCTACCTACCTCCTCCTATTTCTTCCTCCTCATAATGCATCATCGTGCATGAGCTCCTCTTACACACTTATACCCATCTACCTATTTCAATTTGTTGTTGTCTTTTCTCTATCAGAATTCTTATTGCTTTTATTCTTCTGTGTCTTCTTTGTGTATGGTATATTGGTTTCTTCTGAGTTGTTAAATTCTCTTTTTATGGGGAGGGCTTGGGCTACTTCTTACAGTTGAGTTTTGATGTGGAAGCAATGGGCCGTCGGTTCGCATCCATACTTTTTTCGTGCGTTTTCTCTGCTTTCTCTTTTTTCCTCTTTACTTCACACATCTCAGTGTGAATTTTGACGTAAACACAAAATAACGTTTTCAAGTCGTCTACTTGTACTTTAAAACTTTTGTCTGTTGTCTGGCAGGTTTTCTTAAGTTTGCTTGTGATGGGTGTAGTGCGTTTGTCTTGTTATGGAAACCAAGAAATTTCTCACGTGACCTGATCCGGCGCATGGGTTGTTGATTTTAGACCACCCTGTCCCACTGTTGAGTGTATACTTGTCTACATTAAAGAAGCGATTATATGTTACCAGTTCTCATGCGCAAGGTTTCATGGACTTTGGCTCGAGTTGAGGATGAAGCTAGATCTAGTCAGTGTGTCTCTGTATCTCTGTTGTGTCTCTATTGTGTCTCTGTTGTGTCTCTATTGTCTCGTCTTTGTGTCTCTATTTGTCTCTGTGTCTTGTGTCTCTATTGTGTCTCTATTGTGTCTCTATTGTGTCTCTGTGTCTCTGTTGTGTCTCTATTGTGTCTCTATTGTGTCTCTATTGTGTCTCTGTGTCTCTGTTGTGTCTCTGTTGTGTCTCTATTGTGTCTCTGTGTCTCTATTGTGTCTCTGTTGTGTCTCTATTGTGTCTCTGTTGTGTCTCTATTGTGTCTCTATTGTGTCTCTATTGTGTCTCTGTCTCTCTGTTGTGTCTCTATTGTGTCTCTATTGTGTCTCTATTGTGTCTCTGTGTCTCTGTTGTGTCTCTATTGTGTCTCTGTGTCTCTGTTGTGTCTCTATTGTGTCTCTGTTGTGTCTCTGTTGTGTCTCTATTGTGTCTCTGTGTCTCTATTGTGTCTCTATTGTGTCTCTATGTCTCTATTGTGTCTCTGTGTCTCTGTGTCTCTGTTGTGTCTCTGTTGTGTCTCTGTTGTGTCTCTATTGTGTCTCTGTTGTGTCTCTATTGTGTCTCTGTTGTGTCTCTGTTGTGTCTCTGTTGTGTCTCTGTTGTGTCTCTGTTGTGTCTCTGTTGTGTCTCTGTTGTGTCTCTGTTGTGTCTCTGTTGTGTCTCGTGTCTGTATCTGGAGGCTATTATTAGACCTCTAGCCTATGTAATGTAATCAAATTCAGTGAAACTAATAGGTCATCTGTATATTTACTGTGAGGGAAAAACTGAACCACAACATGAGAATTCTGTTTAAAGCCAGTGTTCAACGAGGACGAACTGACATAAACTAGGAATAGAATAAAAAGACTAAAAAGACCCAAAGAAAATCCCCTCAAACAGACCGCCCCAAAACAAACACAACTCCACTTCTGGACCCTGTGACTGACCTCTTGTCTAGTACAGTCCACTGGTCAGAGATGATTTTAGTTGCCTATAGCTCCAAGAAAATCAGGTTATACATTTTTTTCCGATATCACCCATCCTTATGTTACAGTCTGGTTATGAATGATTATCTAATTGGTCAGTGATTGATTTTAGCCAACCACAGGGAGTGCTACCATGACTAATTTCACTTTTTGTTTTGTTTTTCAGGTTATCTTGAAAATGGAACACACAAATCTGTAAGTGTCCTGCTGTTGTCATCCTTATATCATGTACTTTTCATGGAAAAAGCTTTCACAACTACTACATATCTCTATGTATCAGCCCCAAACTGTACTCACAAGATTTTAAAAAAAAAAAAAAAAAAACTATTGATGGATGTTATTAAGTTCTTCATCAGACCAAGGGTTTGTCTTCCTCAGAGTCACGTGATGTTGCTGTGACGTGTCGCCCAGCTGATTTAAACAGGTTTTGGCGTTGTCTTCCTGCCGGTGGAGGCAGGATGACAGCGCCATCTGCAGTCCCACTTCCTCAGGACAGTATCCCAGGTGTGTGAGAGTAAAAAAAAGCCCCTCGTCTCGGTTTATCGTCCCTTGGGCACGTTTCCATTTTTCAGTTGCCTCTAATCCAGCGACGATGGTGAGCAGTCTAAACTGTCAGGGATGAAAACAAACCCTGAGTCTGAAAAACAACCTAATAACATAAATTATCGAAAGATCAAATACACCTAACTACTAATGTTGTAAAAAGTACTAGGAAACTGTGTACTGTATTTTTCTGACTATAAGTCACTCAGAGTAGTCACTCGGAGAAGTTGCACAAGCCAAAAAAGGCATAATGAAGAAGAAAAAAAACATATATAAGTCACATCTTACTATACAGTAAGTCGCACTTTTTGGGGGAAATGTATTTTATAAAATCAGAGACCAGGAACCGATATTTCATCTTGAAAGTCAAGTTCTAGTAATAACAATAGAAGAGAGAACAACAGACTGTTAACGTCACATATGAACAGTTCTTCAGATAAACTATAACATAAACAACAGAACAGGACAAGTTTACCAAACTCTCCATCTCACTCCAAATCACTAAATCCATTGAATTCTTCATCCTCGGTGTCACTTCTGAGCAACTCAGTGACCTCCGGAGGTAAATGGAGCGTCGCTTCCTCTTCTGTGTAGCCGTCATCAGACTCAGCATTAGTTCCATTTAGAATTATTCAGGTGTTTCTGAATCTCGACAGGATGGTTTCGGTGTCACTGAAGTCCAGGCTTTGTCCATCCATCCAGTGACTTCCAGGAAAGTTGCATCTTGCACCCTTCCAGCTGCCATGAAGCTGTGTTCTCCATCCCCACTTTCCCTGTCCCTAACAAGTTTCTTGCTCACTCCAAACTTTCTTTCTGCTGCTTGATTACTGTTTTCGGCTGAATATTTCACTACTTGCAACAGGACAGAGGCTGACACACTGGCACACAAACCTAGAGCCTCTTGCCCCTTCCGTGTGAAAATTTAAATATATAAGTTGCACTGTGGTATAAGTCGCAGGACCACCCAAACCAAGAAAAAAAGTGCCACTTATAGTCTGAAAAATACAGTATTTAAATAAAAACAGATTACACTTGAATCATGAGTGAATCTGCCTTTTTACATATAAACACCATAGACTGTATAAAGAAGTGGACTAAGTGAGTGTGATGTCACCCTTTGCGTTTGGCTCCAGTCAAATGAAGCTTATCAAGGCTGCAGTTATTGGGGACAAGTTCCATATTTGGAATTATGACCGCAACCTTGTCATCGCAACCAAAGAGCCAATCCAACCTCTGTGAAAGAAGGCGCCTGATTTGTCTGTTATTAACTTTCATATCTTGATTTACGAACAAAATAGTAACATAAAAACACCAGGATCACCACAGACTTACACTTGGACAAACTTTATTAATCCACAAGTGAGATGACTTGGACAAAGCAGCTCACACATCACGATATATTATAACAGCAAAAGAGAAATGGCAATAATCAATTCTAAATAAATATGGGCTCGGTCAAGCAGAAGTAAACAGCAAGGCCAAACATTTAAGTTAATGCATCTGATATAAAAATGTATTGAACAGATACATATGTACTTTAGTTTATGAAACTGTTGACCTTTTTTCTGTACCATTTTTGGTTCTAAAGTTCCATATGTTTTAAACAGACCATGTATGAAACATGGAACAAAAATTATTTCCCAAATTTCAAAGACCTGAAAATCATGTCAATAAATGGATGTATTTCATCATATCTTGTGTTATTCCATCTTTGAACTGTTGATGAAGGTACAGGATTTTTTTTTTTTTTATTATTTAAAATGATACAAATTTGCTTGGAAGGACTGACATATTTTATAGAAATAGTTTCCTTTCATTTTGAAGTAATATTAAAGTATTCGGAAGAAAAAAGCGACAAATTATGTAAAATCCTGCACCTTCTACTTGTTTGCACAATTTTCCCTCCGTTACTTTTCCCTCCGTTACCATGACCTTTCTTAATAAAAAATCTCATGAGTCAAAAAGAAAGAGGTTTTTCAATCTAATCTTGTACCATATGGTAGAAAACTATATGAAGCAAATATTCAAACCAGTTTGTTAAGGATATGGAAGTGAGAACCAAGAGTTATCACTGTTTGGATTTATTGCCCAAAAAGTGCTGCATATTTCATTCCCTCCTGTTACCGACATGAGTTTTTAAATTTTTTTTCAACAACTTGAAAGAATATCACAGGTTTAACTTGACCCTGTTGGAGTGTAACTCTTTCCTACATTCTGATACTTTACTTATTTCAATAGTCCCTCTAGTTTCTGAATAAGAGACATTTGAATGTCAAAAATCTGCCCCTGTTTCCCTCCGTTACCACTTGACCAGACCCATAAGTGGAGTGGGTTAATACGAACATTTTAAGATAAAAATGACGAGGCTCACTGGAGCAGATATAGAGAGAGAGATGACATTTTTATATGTAAAGTGAATTGGAGCCAGAGTCAGTGGAGCCAGAAGTGCACCCATCTTCACTTCCTATTTGTCCATTTATATATACAGTCTATGATAAATACCAAAAATACAGCATCTTCCTCCTTTTCTTATGTATGCATCCGTATAATTTAAATAAAAGAATTAGTTGAGTAATAAACATTTTGGACTACTCTGATACCACCTAAAGCTCTGGTGCGCCCCCTGCTGTGTGTGTGTGTGTGTCTGTGTGTGTGTGTGTGTGTGCAGGGCCAGCGCGGGGCCGGGTTCGGTCTCTGTGCTGAAGCGTTTCCAGCAGAGATACTGGAGGACCAAGCAGAGCCTGATCACAGTGACGGGCCAGAGGCAGGACGAGCACGTGGTGGCCTCCGACTCTGAGCTCGACGCGAAGCTGGAGGTACGAGGGGCCGGGTGCAAAACGGGAAGTTCATGTAGAACGGTTTGTGGAATCTGTGGGTCCCATCGATTGAAGTGTGTTAGTTTGGCCACTCACCCAAGTAGCTTCTAGGGAGGAGATAACTACACTCAAAATAACACGCACTAGTTGTTTACAGTAAAAAGTATCTGTTATTTGTTAAAGTGCATATGACAGATTTTAATGATTCTCAAATTTGTTTGGTGGGATAATATCTGTCATAAATATAAATGATAGTTTTATACCAACCAAGAAATTACAGGAAGTAGAGAGTTCTGTTATTAAAGTCCCATAGTGATTAGGGCCTGACCAATATGGATTTTTCTTCAGCCAATATGATACAGATAAAACAGGAGTTGGAGGCGCTGCAGTAATTAATTATATGTGTGAATACTGATCATTCACATCTCTATTCACAGATCATCTGCAGGTCCAGGTCCAGTAACCTGTGTACAGCCACTATAGTCACTTTAGTCACACTAAGCCAATGTCAGAGAAATGTTTATGTGTGGGAGCTACAGCAGCTAAACAATGAGAAAGAACCAAAAGTAGCTTCAAAACCGACACATGCAACACTCACCTCAAGTCTCCACTAATATGTGTCCTTTCATTCCTGACTCAAAAACATTGTCCGTAAATATAATATAATCTAGCATGTTGACAGCAGCTGCGGGTGTAAAGAAGCTCACGTGAGTTCCATAAGTCCGGGGGTGCATTCAGGGTCAGTACGGCGTCACAGACACAGACAAACTACTGCAGATAAATATTAATGCAGCACCACATATTATGACATTTATCTGTCTGTAAATTGGTTTAAATGGACATAATATAGAAAGTCTAAGATTTATAATGAGGTGTATGCCACGTGGACTATCAGCCAAAATCAGCACGATTTAGACCAATAGCTGATATGTCTCCAAGTGCCTATATTGACCATTAATATCGGCCAACCGATATAACGGTCAGGTCCTGATAGTGATGACATCACTCTAGGACTAATTCTATCCTAAAGTTTTGCACAATTTACACACAAGAAAGCATTTTTTATTTCAACAAAACAATGGTGTGTTCTCACACTTTATTAAGTTCTGTGTTCGTAAGAGGAGCGTCAGCCCAGAGTACATCATGGTTGCTGAAATTTCTAACCTTTTAAACCTAAAAATTGCCCAAACCCGTAAAAAGAATTCTAGATATTGTAGTAAAATCTTAAATATAATGATCTTGACTGTGTTTGAATAAAATGAATAGTCAAACCTGTCACAGGTGTTTTAAGTTCATTGATGTACCCAAAGGTGTGAACCATAGTCACCTGATTCTTACTTTGCATGATTGTTCAATGACTCTGCTCACTGAATCTATCACTTCAGTTATATATATTTAAAAACCAAAAAAAAAAACAAAAAAAAAAACTGTGAAACCATCACATTCTGTCACATGAAACTTCACAGAGACAAACCCAAGAGTAAATCAAAGTTAATTATGTAAACCAAAATGTCCACTGACCTACCCTAAGGTGTGAGCTGTAATATAAGGGTCGTTTTACCTCTTTTAAGCCTCTGTAATATGCGGCTGATAACTTCCAGTGTAGCTACCGACCTGGACCATGTGATAAAACCATGGATTCAGCAGCAGCGTCTTCACAACCTGCTAGAGATTTCCCAAGGGGACTTGACTCTAATCGCACCTTCAGACAGCTGGTTGTAACAGTTGATCTGCCAAACATAACAGGACACTACAATCACATCTTTTTTTTTTTATTTATTTTTTTTTTACGTTAGACACATTGTAAAACATGAATTAATAGGCAATTTACAAAAGGAAAAAAGAGAGAATACAGTGACATCTAGATGAAGAAAAGCCAACAGAGCCCAAAGGAAGTCTACATCCGCATGTTTCCAAACGTCTTCTGATTTTGTGATCTAAGCATGAATATTGGAAATTCCAGGTACTGAAAGTGAAGATAGTGTTTGGAGCTTAAACCACAGTAGAGCTCTCTCTGTATCACAACATGACATCACAAGGTGGAACAGAGTGTTTTCTGTGTGAGAGAAGAACTCAGGCTAAATGTGCAGGGTTTGTGTTAAACAAGTGTGAATGAAACAAAACACAACTCCAGGCCTGTTTGTGATGAGAAAATAAGAACATAGACCAGAAAAAGCATAAAATTAGACTTTTAAGCCCACTGATATTGATTTTTGCATCAGCCAATATTGCAATACCGGTACATGTCTGATATATCGGTTCATTTGCTCTCTTCTTCTATCAGTGTGAGCATTAAAGGCACACCGTGTCACTTTTCTGGTTCAGTTACTTATCTCTATGGACACGCTATTGCTTTACCTCCAATATCCTCAAAGTACGGCATTAAACTTTTCAATCTCCAACCTCCAACAAGCGGGAGACGACACCGAGCCAATTTACATGTGAGATCTGCTTTTAAACACATTTCTGAGTAATAAAAACACCCAAAATTGAATAAATGTATCTTAGACAAGTTTAACGCCATATTGTGGAACATTACAGGTAAAAGAACTGAGCAGATCGCCGTCAGCCATGCTCTCCCTCTGCTCCCTGCACACCTCAAATGGGTTTTTGATTCACACGGGGCTCGCGGGGACACATCCTTACATTACCCAACTCCATTTTCACACAACAGTAAATTTAACCTCTTAATCAATACAAGTGGACCTATACAGGCATAAACAGCAGAGCCTGGTGTGTATAAAGTATAAAACTGCAAACATGTCAAATTATACTGTGGTTTATTTACAAACTGGCACAATACTACTTCAGTTAAATTCAATAAAAACATTTTATTTAGATGAGGGGTACTTTTTGACAAATAATAACACATCTGCATCTTGTATTTTGTTGATTTTTTTTTTTTTTTTTTTTTGGCCGCCAAATTTTCATCACCTATGCCAACATATGCTACTGATTTTGATTCCCATTATTCTGTTCTGCTTTAGTTTTGACCTGTAAATGGTCAACTGCTCATTTCATTTTCACCTTGACCTAAAAACGCTCACCTGGACAAACATAAGAGCTGCAAGTTGATCTATTATTCATATTATAATTTTATTTTACAGGCCTATTTCTTTGTGCTGCACACAATTGTTATTAATATAATTGTTATTAATATTATGATTGTTAATATCAACAGACCTACCTACAGTTTGTAATTTTTCACTCTCCTTTGCCAGTGTCAATCACCAGATGTTTCGTACCTTGATATATGTCTTACCTATAATAATGCCTCAGTTTTATATAGTGCTTTTTTGGACATTCAAAGACTCTTTTCAGAGCATTATTCATTCATTCCAGACCTGGTGGTGGTAAACTACTACTGAAGCCACAGCTGCCCTGGGGCAGACTGACAGACGTTTGCCAATCTGCGCTATCAGCCCCTCCGACCACCACCATCACTCACACACACACCACTTTCATACTAGGCAATGTGGGTGAAGTGCCTTGCCTAAGGACACAACAACAGTTTTTGTGACTGGCTCCTCCCTGTGGCACCTGATTTTCCCAGTGTCTCCCATCCAAGTCCTAAATAGGCTTAGCCCTGCTGAGCTTCAGAGATCTGACAGGATCAGGCTTTGATAAGCCGATATGGCCACTTCAGACAATAGAATGTGATTTTCAGCAGTAAATAGCAGTACTTTCTTTTATATTCCTACGTGGCCTTATATCTATGTAATCCCTCTGTGGTCCTGGTAGGTTCATAGTGGTCCATGGGTGTATATTAGTCTATGTGATCCCATTACTATTCTACTATTCAGTATCTGAGTTTGAGTATCTAGTTTTGATACTAGTTTTAGTGTCCTATATTACACAAAATAAACTCTTGTGAGCTTTAAGCCATGTCAGAATACTGTGGCTGTAGTCGTGAATGTTTTAATCTAAACCTACAGAGAACCTGATATTTGCTAATTAGCCCTGGGAGAACGTTACGTCGGATGTTAGCCAACTGGCTCCACTATGTTATCTAACATATAGGTGCAATTTCCCGTTCAAAGGAGGTGTTTCTACACAATATTATACAGCAGCGTTCGGTTCCCGAATTCAAGACATTTTTTACAATAGATTTTAATGAAACCCACTTGTTGGTCGCTGTTGTAGCTCCTTGTGCTATTACTCTGTTTTTACCCTCTGCTACAAACTTGAGCTGTGCAGTCTTGATCTTGATCGATGTTTCTTCTGCTCGATGAATAATGTGTCTGTGAAGTGATGACGTATTTTTGACAGTAAAGTTCCGTCTGTGAATTCGTATTCGTACTGATGAAAGCGTAATCGTAAATTTTCATTTCGTGATTGTAATTCATGACGTCGTAATTTTTCAATTCGTATTCTGATGGATAAAATACACACAATATATTTTATGTACGACTGGACTCATTTGAGAGTTTACAAATATTTATTTTATGCGCAACTACAGCCAAATATGCACGGATTTCCCAAATACGCACGGATTTCTATTTTATGCGCACAAATATTTTTGACAGCTTTCTTACTCCATAGAGTCTAGTGAAGGAGTTTAAAAACACAGTGGAGCAATTCCCTGACCTACTGTATGTCCCCTCTGTCTCAGGTGTTCCACTCCATCCAGAGGACCTGCATGGAGCTTCTCAAGGTGATCGAGCAGTACCAGAAGAGGATCTGTGGTGAGCTCTTCTTTCATAGAGAACAGTTTTAGTTGGTTGTGGTTCTTCACTTACCTTATGTATTCAGAACATCCTCATTTTTAACCTGGATGAGTTTATGAGCACATCTAACAGCAACTAGCATGCTAACCATGTGCTTCCTGAGTATCTGACAATAAAGCACTTTATAATTAGATGCAGACATTTAATTCTTTCTTCATGTCGTATTGAAAAATCTTTGCCTCTCTCTGTAACTGCTGCTGTCAGGTTCCTCATTTTAGTCTTAAGGAATGTCCTTGTATTAACTGCTGCTTAAACTGCTGCCCCCACGACCCGGCCCCGGATAAGCCAAAAAAATGAATGGATGAGTTCTTAAATCAAGACCTGAACATATAACAGAGCAGTGCGGTGCTTTCTTTCCATAAGGTCACTCTGGCTCGCATTAGATAAGTGATACAGTTGAGGATGTTTTCAAATCAATAAATATAGTTCTCTTACAGTAAGGTTCCCTGTTCTCTACTGTTGTAGTGTTCTGTATGTATGTGTGTTGTGTGTTTATGTGTGTGTGTTGTGTGTGTGTGTGATTGTGTGTTTGTGTGTTTATTGATTGTGTGTTATGTGATGTGTGTGATTGTGTGTTTGTGTGATGTGTGTGTGATTGTGTGTGTTGTGTGTTGTGTGTATGTGTGTGTGTTATGTGTGTGTGTGTTGTGTGATTGTGTGATTGTGTGTTTGTGTGTGTGATTGTGTGTTGTGATCGTGTTGTGTGATTGTGTGTTTGTGTGATTGTGTGATTGTGTGTGTGTGATGTTGTGTGTGATTGTGTGTGTGTGTGATGTGTGTGTTTGTGTGATTGTGTGTGTTGTGTGTGTGTGTGTTTTGTGATTGTGTGTTTATTGTGTGATGTGTGTGATTTGTGTGTGATGTGTGTGTATGTGTGTGTGTGTGTGTGTGATTGTGTGATTGTGTGTTTGTGTATGTGTGTGTTTGTGTGATTGTGTGTATTGTGTGTGATTGTGTGATTGTGTGTTGTGTGATTGTGTGATTGTGTGATTGTGTGATTGTGTGTTTATGTGATCGTGTGATGTGTGTTTGTGTGTTTGTGTGATTGTGTGTTTGTGTGATTGTGTGTTGTGATTGTGATTGTGTTTGTGTGATTGTGTGTTGTGTGATTGGTGTGATGTGTGTGTGTGTATTGTGTGTTTATGTGTGTTGTGTGATGTGTGATTGTGTGTGATTGTGTGTGATTGTGTGTGTGTGATGTGTGATTGTTTGTGTGATTGTGTGTTTATGTGATTGTGTGTTTGTGTGTTTATGTGATTGTGTGTGATGTGTTTTGTTGTGTTTGTGTGTTGTGTGATGTGATTGTGTGTTTATGTGATTTGTGTTTGTGTGATTGTGTGTATGTGTGATTGTGTGTTTGTGTGATTGTGTGTTTGTGTGTGATTGTTGTGTTTGTGTGATGTGTGATGATGTGTGTTTGTGTGATTGTGTGTTTGTGTGATTGTGTGTGTGTGATTGTGTGTTTGTGTGTTTGTGTGTATTGTGTGTTTGTGTGTTTGTGTGTGTGTGTGATTGTGTGTGTTTGTGTGATTGTTTGTGTGATTGTGTGTTTGTGTGATTGTGTGTGATGTGTGATTGTTGTTTGTGTGATGTGTGTTGTGTGTTGTTGTTGATGTGTGTGATTGTGTGTGTTTGTGTGTTTGTGTGATTGTGTGTTTGTGTGTATGTGTGATTGTGTGTTTGTGTGATTGTGTTTGTGTGATTGTGTGTGATTGTTGTGTGATTGTGATTGTGTGTGTGTGTTGATGTGTGTGATTGTGTGTGTATGTGTGATTGTGTGATTGTTGTGTGATTGTGTGTGTGTGATTGTGTGATTGTGTGATTGTGTGATTGTGTGTGTGTGTGATGTGTGTGTTGTGTGATTGTGTGTTGTGTGTTTGTGTGATTGTGTGTTTGTGTGATTGTGTGATGTGTGTGTGTTTGTGTGATTGTGTGATTGTGATGTGTGATTGTGTGTTGTGTGATTGTGTGTTTATGTGATTGTGTGTTTGTGTGATTGTGTGTTTGTGTGATTGTGTGTTTGTGTGATTGTGTGTGTGTGTGTGTGTGTTGTGTGATTGTGTGTTTGTGTGATTGTGTGTTTGTGTGATTGTGTGTTTGTGTGATTGTGTGTTTTTGTGTGTGTGATTGTGTGTTTTGTGTTTGTGTGATTGTGTGTTTGTGTGATTGTGTGTTTGTGTGATTGTGTGTATGTGTGATTGTGTGTGTGTTGTGTGTTTGTGTGTATGTGTGATTGTGTGTTTGTGTGATTGTGTGTATGTGTGATTGTGTGTTTATGTGATTGTGTGTTTGTGTGTGCGTCCCGGCAGTGCTGTCCCAGGAGGAGGCGGAGCTGGGCCGGTTCCTGCGCTCTCAGGCCTCTCAGGACAAGAGCAGAGCGGGGAAGATCATGCAGGCCACAGGAAAAGCTCTGTGCTTCTCCTCACAGCAGAGGTAACCAGCATGAAAACAGTGCACCTACTGCTTTCAGCTTTGCAGTAGCAGTAGAAGTAGTAGCAGTTGTAGTAGTAGCAGTAGTTTGAACATGGCACCAGATCCTGTTTCTGTCCAGACTGGCCCTGTGTGCACCCGTGGTCATCTGGTAGTAGTAATATTAGTAGTAGTAGTAGTAGTAGTTGTAGTAGTAGCAGTAGTAGCAGAGTAGTACTTGTAATTATAGTAGTAGCAGTAGTAGAAGCAGTAGCAGTAACAGTAGTAGTGGTAATAGTTTGTTTCTCTCCAGAATGGCCCTGTGCGTGCCCCTGGTCATCTGGAGTAGAGTAGTAGTAGTAGTAGTAGAAGTGGTAGTAAGTAGTATAGTAGCAGTAGTAGTAGTCAGGTAGTAGTATAGTACTGTAATAGTTAGTAGTAGTGTAGTAGTATAGTAGTACAGTAGTAGTAGTAGTAGTAGTAGAAGTGCTCTAGTTAAGGTAGTAGTAGTAGTAGCAGTAGTAGTAGTAGTAGTAGTAGTGTCCGTGCTCTGCGTGCTCTAGTAGTAGTAGTAGTCGTAGCAGTAGTAGTAGTATAGTAGTAATAGTTTGTTTGTGTCCAGGTTGGCTCTGCGTGCTCCTCTGGTCCTCTGGTAGTAGTAGTAGTAGTAGTAGTAGTAGTAGTAGTAGTAGTAATAGTAGTAATAGTTTGTATGTGTCCAGGTTGGCTCTACGTGCTTTTCTGGTAGTAGTAGTAGTAGTAGTAGTAGTAGTAGTTAGTTTTGTATGTTTCCAGACTGGCTCTGCGTGCTCCTCTGATAGTAGTAGTAGTAGTAGTAGTAGTAATAGTAGTAGTAGTAATAGTTAGTACTTGTGTCCAGGTTGGCTCTGTGCTCCTCTGGTAGTAAGTTAGTAGTAGTATTAGTAGTAATAGTAGTAATAGTTAGTACTTGTGTCCAGGTTGGCTCTGCGTGCTCCTTGTAGTATAGTAGTAGTATTAGTAGTAGTAGTAGTAATAGTTAGTACTTGTGTCCAGGTTGGCTCTGCGTGCTCCCTGGTTAGTAGTAGTAGTAGTAGTAGTAGTAGTAGTCAGTAGTAGTAGTAGTAGTATAGTAGTAATAGTTAGTACTTGTGTCCAGGTTGGCTCTGCGTGCTCCTCTGGTAGTAAGTAGTAGTAGTAGTATAGTAGTAGTTCCAGTAGTATTAGTAGTAGTAAGTAGTGTTAGACTTGTGTCCGTTGGCTCTGCGTGCTCCTCTGGTAGTACAGTAGTTAGTAGTATTAGTAGTAGTAGTAGTAATAGTTAGTAATTATGTCCACTAGTAGTAGTAGTAGTGTATTAGTAGTAGTAGTAGTAATAGTTAGTACTTGTGTCCAGGTTGGCTCTGCTGCTCCCCTGGTAGTATTAGTAGTAGTAGTAGTAGTATTAGTAGTAGTAGTAGTAATAGTTAGTACTTGTGTCCAGGTTGGCTCTCGTGCTCCTCCTCGTGAGTTTTCTTCAAAGTAGTATAGTAAGTAGTAGTAGGTTAGTACTTGTGTCCAGGTTGGCTCTGCGTGCTCCTCTGGTAGTAGTAGTAGTAGTAGTAGTATTAAGTAGTAGAGTAGTAATAGTTAGTACTTGTGTCCAGTTGGCTCTGTGCTCCCTCTGGTAGTAGTAATAGTAGTAGTAGTAGTAGTATTGGTAGTAGTAGAGTAGTAGTAGTAATAGTACTTGTGTCCAGGTTGGCTCTGCGTGCTCCTCTGGTAGTAGTAGCATAGTAGTAGTATTGGTAGTAGTAGTAGTAATAGTTAGTACTTGTGTCCAGGTTGGCTCTGCTGTCCTCTGGTAGTAGCAGTAAGTAGTAGTAGTAGTAGTAGAGTAGTAAATAGTTAGCAGTAGTAAGTAGTTGTAGAAATAGTAGTATACAGTAAATAGCAGTAGTAGTAGTATTAGAGTAGTAGTAGTAATAGTTAGTACTTATGTCAGGTTGGCTCTCTGTAGTAGTAGTAGTAGTAGTAGTATAGTAGTAGTAGAGTAGTACTTGTGTCCAGGTGGCTCTGCGTGCTCTCTGTAGTAATAGCAGTAGTAGTAGTAGTAGTAGTAAGTAAAATTAGTATAGGCTAGTAGTAGTAGTAGTAGTAGTAGTAGTAGTAGTAGTAATCTTAAGTTAAGGTAGTCTCTGTTAGTCAGTAGTAGTAAGTAGTAGTAATAGTTTGTTTGTGTCCAGTTGGCTCTCATGGTAGTAGTAGTATTAGTAGTAGTAGTAATAGTTTTTGTCTGTTGCTGTCCTCTGGTAGTAGTAGTAGTAAGTAGTAGTAGTAAGTAGTAATAGTAGTAATAGTTTGTAAGTTCTAGTATAGTAGTAGTAATAGTAGTAGTAGTAGTAGTAGTAGTATTGTAGTCCAGTGTAGTAGTATAGTAGTAGTAGTAGTTATAGTAGTAATAGTTAATAGTATAGTATAGTATAGTAGTAGTAGTAGTAGTAGTAGTAGTAGTGTATGTTTCCAGACTGTGCTCCTCTGTAGTATAGTAGTAGTAGTAGTAGTAGTAGTAGTAATAGTTTAGTATTGTGCGTGCTGTCGTGTATGTGGTGTAGTAGTAGTAGTAGTAGTATAGTATAGTAGTAGAATAGTTAGTACTTTGTGTCCAGGTTGGCTCTGCGTGCTCCTTGGTTAGTAGTAGTCAGTAGTAATATATAATAGTAGTTAGTAGTGAAGTAATAGTTAGTACTTGTGTCCAGGTGGCTCTGCGTGCTCCTCTGGGCAGTTAGTAGTAGGTAGTAGTATAGTAATAGTCACTGTTGGGCAAGTTACTTTAAAACTATAATGCGTTATTTATTACTTATTACTGTCATTTCAAAGTAATTCGTTACATTACAATATTACTGCATTTAAATGTAAGGCATTACATTACTATTGCATTACTTAAGTTACTCTCACCAAAATAACTGCGAAAAAGCTGAACTTTTGAGCCGTATATGGACTGAAACCAGGACTAAACAAGGTCTAAACCAGGACTATAACAGGACTAACCTTCAGACTGATTCCAGGACTGAAGAGGAGGACTAAACCAGAACTGAACTAGGACTAAAACAGGACTCACTGTCAGGATGGGCTCGAAGGTGACCGCAGGAGAAAGGAGCGGCTTTGCTCCGCACCTCATGGAGGTAAGAGCGGCTGTCGCCCGATCGCTCTTTATGGACACCCTGCTGCGCGGGCTCACGGTCCTGATTTCAGCAACTATTTGCGGGTACAAGACCCGGTGCAAAACTCTGCTACAGCGCGTAACTTCTACCTTCCTTCAACGTGTCCAGAAGTCCAACTTTTTGTGCGATGGTTTGCATCGTCCTCTGTCTTTTGGGTGTGAGCGCAGGAGACTTTGTCGGTGCAGAACCTTTCGTCGACGTTGTGGATTTTTGTCGGAGAGAAAAACTTGCAGACATACAGCACTTCAGAAGCACACTGCTAGAGATTGAACATTTATTTAAATTTGGCAGCTGAACATTTCTGTACTGTACTGTTCAGGAGACAGGAGTCCCTCAGCCAATCAGGACACAGCGGGAGGAACGCAATACGTGTTCATACACTAAAAACAAAAGCCATGCAAAAATTGCACAAAAAATAATTCTAAAAATCAGCGAAACAGCGAGACCGCGAAAAGTGAATCGCGTTAGAGCGAGGGACGACTGTAAGCCAGGTCTAAACCAGG